AACTTCTGCCTTCAGGCAACTTGTTTACTTCTCTAAATTTCTGCTCCCATCTTTTTTCAAGCTTAAGAATTTTCCTTACTCTTGCCAGATAATATATGCAGTTGAATAGTCTCTATCAATCTATAAGATTATCTGGCAAGAGTAAGGAAAATTCTTTATCTAGCACTGTAGGGGTTTAATAATGATTGTGGCCACATGCAGTGGCTCATCCCTGTATTCCCAGTACTTTGGGAAGCCAAGGCAGGAGGATTACTTGGGCCCAGGAGTTTGAAGCCAGCATGGGCACATAACAAGACCCTGTCTCTACTAAATAAACAAATAAGCAAGCAAAACAGCCAGCCGGGTGTGGTGGCACATGCTTATAGTTCCAGCTACTCAGGAGGCTTAGGTGAAAGGATTGCTTGAGCCCAGGAGTTCAAGGCTACAGTGAGACAGGGTCTTGCTTTATCATCCAGGCTGGAGAGCAATGGCACAATCATGGCTTGCTGTAGCCTCAACCTTTCAGACTCAAGAGATCCTCCTGCCTCAACATCCCTAGTAGCTGGGACTACAAGTGAGTGTTACAACACCCCAGGCTAATTTTTTTTTTTTAATTTTTCAGTAGAGATGAAGTCTCACTCTGTTGCTTAGGCTGGTCTCGAACCCCTGGGCTCAAGTGATCCTCCCACCTCAGCTTCTCGAAGTGCTGAGATTACAGGAATGAGCCACTACACCTAAAACTGCCTTTTTCTTTCTGCTTCTGTATTTGGAGTATACTGCCATATATTAAATTAACAGATCAAAGAACAGGATTAGTCTCAGGGCTCTTGCTACATACTATAAAATTTAATGATGAAAACTAATAATATTACATTTTAATAGCATCCTTGAGAAGGTTCTATAAATGCTATGTCTATTTTGCTATAGAGAAGTTATCTGTTATTGCAGATTAGAGCTGTTTAGCTGTGACCATATCTGGAATAAAACATGATCTCCAGTCTAAGATAACATTTTCTTTAAAAACTGCTACAAATCTATTTTTAAATACAATAAATAATAATTGGGTTAATTAAAAGTATATAAACAGCAGTTTCATTTGATCAATTATACTAATATTTTTACTAAGTTTTGCTTTCGATAAAAACCAGACACCAACATTTCTAAAACTTTAATATGAAAAAGAACGTTAAGTTCTAATCTCTAAAACATGGAAAGTCATGGAAACGTTGCAAATAAAAATAGCAATTTGTTTTCAAATTTTCAAGGATCTTTATAGAAATCCCTTATTATATGGAATAAGTATACTCATCCATTCATTCAAAAATATTTGAGAAACGGCTATGCATAAGTCAAAAATTTCTGTTTACCCAAATGCTATTTTCCTGGCAATTTTATATACTAAATTATAGATAACTTAGATGGAATTCTGCCATCTACATGGCAGATGGCAGGAAATATGCCACGATACTATGAACTCTTCAGGCAATATAGATTATGATTTAAGTTTAAGCATATAGTATTTTTCTGTCACAGACTTCTTCCTATGACAGAAAACCTAACCTGTAGTAAAAAAGGAAGAAGACCATTCACAGATTCCTTCCTGTTTTAAAACTGTTTGACCCAACCTGTAGTGAAACAGGAAGAAGACTATTCTCACATTAAGGATTACTTTAAACTGAACTTGAGAGAATTTACAGAACTTCTATTCAAAATATTTAAAAGTGTGCATGACTTTTTATAAAACACTTGAAAAAGAAAAACATGTTCATATAAAAACTTGTACATGAATGTTCATAACAGCATTATTTTTATGTATTTTATGTAGGGTCTTGCTCTGTTGCCTAGGCTGGATTACAGTGATACAATCATGGCTCACTGCAGCCTCAAACTCCTGCTCAAGCGATCTTCCCACCTCAGCCTTCCAAGTATCTGGGATTACAGGCACATACTACCATGCCCACCCAATTTTTGTTGAGATGGGAATCTCACTATTTTGCCAGGCTATTCTCCAAAGCAGCATTATTTATAACAGCCAAAAGATGGAAACAACCCAAATGTCCATCTCCTGATGAATAGAGAAACAAAATGTGTTATATCTGTACAATGAAATCGTTTAAGTCACAAAAGTTCTGATGTGTGCTACAACATGAATGAATCTAGGAAACATTGTGCTAGGTGAAAGAAGCTGGTCACCAAGGACTACATATTTGTATGTTTACCTTTCTATGAAATGCCCAGAAGAGGCAAATATAGAGATACAAAAAGTCAGTTAGTGGTTGTTTAGGACTGGGGAAGATGGTGAGCTCGTTTGGGCATTAATAGCTAAAGAGTTCGGGGTTTCTTTTTGAGATAAGAAAAATGTTATAAAACTGACTGTGATGATAGCTGCACAATTTGTGAATATACTAAAACCCTGAATTGCACACTTCAAGTAGTGGAACAATATGGTACATGGGTTATACCTCAATAAAGCTGTTACCAAAAAAATAAAAATAAAAGACACATACAGATAAAAACATGCAGATAAAACAGATATTATAAAGACAATTTATAATATATATCAACCTTAAGAACTTTTGACCAGATGTACGAACACAATTTTTAAGGGAACTGAATCACCACAGAAGTGTGACTCTCTTTCCCCTTTGAGTAGATATTGCCTTTGAAACAGGAAACAAAGGTAGGAATAAAGGATATTATTTTGATATTTTGAAAGCATGATTTCCTAAGAATAGGGTAGGGTAGAGCTTAGATGTTTAAAAAATCTCCAAGTTGACAATGACACTGAATTTCTGACAATAAAATGCTTAGTTGATGGGAATAAACTATTCATCGGACTTACTCACTGGCAGCTGTAAAGATTGGGCCTATATGGCATGCTAAACTACTCAGGGAGGTTATAAAGAACTTGCATGGCAGAGCAGTAGGCATGAAGGCTCATTACTAAATGACCTAAAGACAGCTTACATAAGTGAATTTAAACACAGGCATGAGGCTAGAGAAGTGACTGGTATTGATTACAGAAACCCAAGAGAAAGGCTTTTTCTCTTGCTATAATGTTTGGCATTTTGGAAGGGATGGGCAGATACTCTTGTATGGACAGGTGTAATCCATCCAGTAAGAGGCTAGAACTCTGAGGTCCCTGACAGTGTGAAGCTAAACTGTAGTAGGGAAAAAAAAATGGTCTGTCCTCTGAGGCTCTCCCTGGTCTTACAGCAAAAGAGGTTCTAGGCCAGCTGAGAATGGAAACAAAAAAGACTTAAAGGCCTCCTTTGTACCTTCACCTGATGGAAGAAAAATGACAGAAGCCAGTTCTCACAGCAGCGGTGGCTGCAGAGCAACATACTCCAGAGGGAAAGTTGAATAGGAAACATACACATGACAAGAAGCTGCGTAACTGGCAAGGCCTGGTGCAAAATGGAAATGCAGGGTGCCTTGTTCATGGATGACTCATAATTTCGGAACAATGACAGCAGAGCATTACACCAAACATGGGGCTTTTCTAAATGCGGGGATCTCTACAACTGCACAGGTCATATCCCCCTTTAAGTCAGCTCTGATTCTTGAGCAGCAAGAGCAGTGGTAGCAAAAAATTCAGAAGGCAAAGGAACGTACAAAGCGGAAAACCAAGATCATGTAAAATCCCACAACTACTAAAATTTTAGTGTATACAAACATGTACATCCCAGAGATTTTTCTTTATTTTTTGTAGAGGTGAGGTCTCACTACATTTCCCAGGCTGATCTTGAACTCCTGGCCTCAAGGGGTCCTCTTGGCCTCCCAAAGTACTGGGATCACAGGCATAAGCTACCACGCCCACACAGCTAGAGATTTCTCTGCATACATTTATACATGTAGATATTTTCCATATCCATATATATATACATGTGGATATTTACATTTATCCATATGTTTTGTATATTGTACATTCTCTTCTGCAGCTTTTTTAAAACTTATTTTGGAGAGCTTTCCAAAATATTAATAAAAGTAGATCATTTTAATCCATTACATATATTATACAACATATAGATCCATGTTCCATTGAACCAAAGCCCTACTGCTGGGTTTCTAAACAGTCTTAGGCAGGTATCCCCAAACTTTTTACATAGGGGGCCAGTTCACTGTCCCTCAGACCGTTGGGGGGCCGCCACATACTGTGCTCCTCTCACTGACCACCAATGAAAGAGGTGCCCCTTCCTGAAGTGCGGCAGGGGGCCGGATAAATGGCCTCAGGGGGCTGCATGCGGCCCGCGGGCCATAGTTTGGGGATGCCTGGTCTTAGGTTTTTCATTATTACAAATTATATGCATTGAATATCAATAGAGTTGAATGAAAATTGAATAAGACAATCAATATAAAGTCCTCCACAGAGTACTTGGCATGTAACAAGCACTCTTTCAATGTTGGTAGTGATTTTTGAAAAATATTTTGTCGTGGCTGAGCACAGTGGCCGATGCCTGTAATCCCACCACTTTGGGAGGTTAAGGAGGGTGGATTACTTGAGGTCAGGAGTTTGAGATCAGCCTGGCCTACAAGGTGAAACCCCATCTCTACTAAAAATACAAATTTAGCCGAGCATGATGGCAGGCACCTTAAATCCCAGCTATAGGAGGCTGAGGCAGGAGAATCACTTGAACTCAGAAAGCGGAGGTTGCAATGAGTCCAGATCATGCCACCACACTCCAGCCTGGGCAACAGAGCTAGACTCCAGCTCTAAAAATATAAAATAAAATAAAAATAAATAAATAATAAAATAAAATAAAGTGTCCTGTGTAAAGGTTGAATTTACATTCCCAACAGCAGGGTAAAAGGGACTGATTTCCCTAAATCTTTGCCAATTCTTTTAATTTTTGCCTTTTGTGCTTCTTCTATGAATGGTCTGTTCATGTTCTTTGACAGTTCTCCTAATGGATTCCTCATGCTTTTTAATTTTTAATTTCCGTATTAGGGATATCAATCCTTCATCATAGGAATAACAAGTACTTTTTCTTTTCCTTAAAAACAATTAACTTATGACTTACCTCCAGTTCCTAGGACCTTCAGAAGTTCAAAATTTTCTATCCCCACCTTCTCTGCATGTCCTGTCAAATTAGCTAAAAGAAAAAAAAGAGAGAGAGAAAAAGAAAGCAATTAGGGTCAGCAAGAGAAGAAGGTTCCTGGGGGCTTCTCGGGTACTATCATGCTCCATTTCCTGACTTGAGTCATTAACCAGGGTTTGCTTCACATTATTTGTTAAACAGTACAGCATATTTTACAATAAATTTCTGTATGTTATACATGACAATAAAACTTTTTTTTTGAATTTAGGAACTATATATGTCATTTGTACCAAAGATTAACATAAATTAAAGTGTTCTCTACTGACCAATATACTCCAAAAATAAATAAAAATTCTAACATATAGATAGATACACAGTGGGAAAAAAACTGGATGGATTGAGAAGATGTATTAATTTATTCAACAAACATTTACTGAGTATCTATTAATGCCATCCCCAGGTTCTAGACTGGGTGGTAGTTCCATTTCTGCCACTAAATAGTCGGACACAATTTAGCATGCATTCGTCACTTGAATACTCTATGTCTCCATTACTACATCTCTGAAATGAAAGTGTTGGTCTCAATGAACTCTAAGGATCCCTGTCAGCTCTAAAATTCTAGGACTATGTTTAAAAACATAAACTCTTCTAAAATGTATTGTCTTGAATAAATAAAATTAGAGTATCTTATAAATAACCATTTTCCATAACATATTCCACTGAATTCTAGTCCTATCCTACGAAGTGTTAATAGGTGTTATGTTTGGGGGAGACGTGGGGAGCAGAGTGCTTTGGTAGAACAAATGTAGAAATGCCCGGCTTAAAGGTAAACGATTTCTTTACCGCTGGACCTTACAGATCCTGTATTATGAAATACGCACACAGATAAGCAAGACTAAGATACTGTATTTGTCAATGTATTTAACCACAAAATTATGTGAACTAGTACTCTGTAGAAGTGGTTAAGAATGGCTTGATCCAAATCCTAGTTATGTCACTTAAAAGCCAGTGACAGGTAGTATGACTCCGTCAGGCCGGAACCATGGCAGTAACCAAGAAGCTCTTACAGATGGACCTGTACCGGCTGCTAGGCATTGAGGAGAAGGTGGTGGACAAAGAGGTGAAGAAGGCATATAGACAATAGGCCCTCCCCTGCCACCCAGACAAAAATCCAGATAATCCCAGAGCAGCTGAACTCTCCAGGCCCAGGAGAGTGAGGAGGAGGAGGAAAGCTGGAGCACCAGGACACTAGAGCAAGAGAACGAACCCCTGAGAGAAGAGGGTTGCCGGCAGCTGGAGGAACAGCAGAGGCTGACCCAGGAGCAGATACAGGAGCATGACCAGAGATTGAGAGGAAAGACAGAAAATACTGAAGGCCAAGGAATCCCCAAACTAAAGCTAAAATGGAAGTGCAAGAAGGAGGATGAGTCAAAAGGTGCTCCAAAGACATCCTTCTACGGCTTTTGCAAAAAAGTATGGTGAGGTTCTCAACCTAGTGCTTTTCAGTAAGAAGGCAGGCACTGCTGTAGTAGAGTTCGCGACCGTCAAGGCTGTGGAGCTGGCTATCCAGAATGAAGTTGGCCTGGTGGATAACCCTCTGAAGATTTCCTGGTTGGAGGGACAGCCCCAGAGCACCGTGGGCCACCCGGGACTGTCAAAGGGCTCAGTGCTGTCGCAGAGGGTCGAGAGCCTCGTCGTGATGCGCATGCGCCACGCCACCAAGCTGCAACAGCTGATTGCAGATATGCAGCCAGAGGGGCCTCCCACGTAGCCCCGGGGTTCCAGCCCCCCACCCCCCGCCCCCAGCCCTTTTCTTCAACGTCACCAATAAAAGTTTAAAAAAAAAAAAAAAGGTGACATTGAACAAATAACTTGTCTGTGTCTCAGATCCCAATAATGTAAAATGGATCCTCAAAGCATACTGATATCTGCAATTTGCTTTGAAATGCATTTTTAAAAATAAATTTATAAATAAATATAGCTATGAACAGATACATCAAAAGCAAATACAACAAAATATTAATTATAGAATCTAGGTAGTAAATATAAGGGTATTCAATATACAATTCTTTCAAATTCTCTGTATATTAGAAAATGGCAATTATAAAATGACAGAAAACAAAATAATATCTACCCCATAGAATTTAATGAGGATTAAATAAGGTAAATTTATACAGAGCTTGCTGTGCACCAATAAGCAGTATTATAAGTGTTTGTAAATAAATGAGTGTTTTGGGACTACAATTTGAAAAAAATAAAACTAAGAACTTCTAGAATTGAAAGTTTTGGGGTATAAATAATTTGTGTCTTTCCAAAGTTTAAACTCATAATTTGAAATTCTTTAAACCTGTGGTCAAAAATATGTAAAATTTACTATCTTCACCATTTTTAAGCATATGGTATTGTTAACCACACATACATTGTTTTACAACAGATCTTTAGAACCTTTTCATCCTTCAAAATAAACTATATCCAATGAACTACTCCCTTTTTACTACTTCTCTCAGCCCTGAGAACCACCATTCTATTTTCTGTTTTTAAGAGTTTTACGGATGGGCGTGGTAGCTCACGCTTGTAATCTCAGCACTTTGGGAGGCCAGAGGCTGAGGCGGGCAGATCACAAGGTCAGAAGTTCGAGACCAGCCTGTCCAATATGGTGAAACTCCATTTCTACTAAAAAAAAAAACTAATACAAAAATACAAAAATTAGCCAGGCATGGTGGCGCACACCTGTAGTACCAGCTACTCAGGAGGCTGAGGCAGGAGAATCGCTTGAGCCCAGGAGGTAGAGGCTACAGTAAAGGATTATGCCATGCATTCCAGCCTGGGCGACAGAGTGAGACTCTTGTCTCAAAAAAAAAAAAAGGCCGGGCGCGGTGGCTCAAGCCTGTAATCCCAGCACTTTGGGAGGCCGAGGCGGGTGGATCACGAGGTCGAGAGTTCGAGACCATCCTGGTCAACATGGTGAAACCCCGTCTCTACTAAAAATACAAGAAATTAGCTGGGCATGGTGGCTCGTGCCTGTAATCTCAGCTACTCAGGAGGCTGAGGCAGGAGAATTGCCTGAACCCAGGAGGCGGAGGTTGCGGTGAGCCGAGATCGCGCCATTGCACTCCAGCCTGGGTAACAAGAGCGAAACTCCGTCTCAAAAAAAAAAAAAAAAAAAAAAAAAGCTAAACAAAACAAATTAAAAGAGTTTTACTATTAACGTCTGATTTTATAGTAGGAATAAATCAATGTACATGGATGGCCCAGCCTAGAGTTCACATTGGCATCAATATAGATCTAAAATGAACACCAAAAACATAGGTAGTATTTTTAAATAAACACATAATAGCTTATCTTTCTCTAATATGTCAAGTAGATTACATAAAAAGCCAAACTCAAAAGAGATAACCATTTAAAAAATAATGATCTGGCTTTCTTCTAATGTTAAATTCTATTATTTTATTATGTAAAAAAGATAATTACTCCTGGTTCTTACTATTAGGACTCATTTTTTATTTACTGAGAAACGTACAAGCCCAGCTTTCCAAAAGCATTGTTCATATACTAGATTATATCTATATTTATATTTGCCTTATATTTATATATTACTTACCTATATTTGCTGCTACACTAAGAAGATAAGGAATTATTTGTTGATACACATTAACTTTCATAGGAAATTAAAATAGGTTATAAATTAATTAGTTTCTTTTGCAAAATATACTACCCAGGAAGCCCTAGTCATTCACAAAGATCATTCAGATGATCTGTGAAGACTGTTTTTGTTCATAATCTACTACCTTTATTATTTTGTTTCTAACATAAATTAACACTTTGCCTGCTACAGGAGCTCAAGCCTCCTATCCCCAGGGCTCAAGAGGAAGGGTATCAGTGCCTTCTCTACTCAGGGTAGAAGGTGTCCAGGTGATGAGAAGCAGCTCAAGGTATGTTATCTTTGGTTCCTGCTCTCATTAGTTTAGCAGCTAAGAGTTTTGTTTACTCTTTGTATTGCTTTTCCACCCATACTCTTCCCAGGCGGCTAGTAGGTAAGGCAGAGCTTGGAAGAGGTTCTTCTCTCTCCCATACCTCAAGTTCTAGGCCTTAGGAAAAGTAAAGAATGCTGGTTTTGAAAAGAGCTTAGCCCTGGGCTTATGAAGAAAAACCACTCTCTTCCATCTCAAGTTTCTGCTAGAGTTTAGATTGCTTGCAATTTTCTTGCTTAGGAACGGCAAGATTCCAGTAAACAATCTTAAGAGATATCTGCGTAGGGCAATGGAACAAGTAATCCTTAAGCAGGTCCATGTGGTCCAGCCCAGCTCACCAAGGTCAAGGTTTCAGTTTGGGTTATAGAACTAAAGATCAAGTGTCAAGATATGTTAAGTTTATGAATAATATTGAGAAATGTTAAGTTTATGAATATTGATGAATGCTGAATGTATAATAAAATATATTGTTTGCTAGGAAGAACAATGTCAAGGAAAACCTAGCCGCCCCTCCCAAGTAGGAAACTACTTGGGGCATTCCAAAGTGGCAGGACAATGTATAAATATCATAAACCGGTTAAAACAATTCTTTAAGATATCTGACCCTGCCCCCCTGGCTCCCTCGTGGAGAATATTAAATTTGTCTGTGATCAGTGATAAGCGGGCACCAGCTGCCTACTTGGCATATTTTGTGTTAAGAGAAAATACCAAACATCTGTTTGTTAGTAATGATCACCTGTTCAGAGAGAATAAATGCATGGGTTAGAGTCTGCTTGAGGCTTTCAGGCTGGAATGCTGTCAGCTCCTAAGGCTCTCCACTCAGAAGGCTGCTGGTCCCCCAGATAGACCCACTTTGCTGTTCTGTCTGGGTGTCTGCCTCTCAGTTCCTTCAGCACTGCCTGGGTGGGGTCTCTATGGCCAAACTGGCTCTCAATAATCAAGCTTGCCATCATGTACTCCTTTATTTTGTCTTCACTTTCTTTTTTCTTTTTTCTTTTTTCTTTTTTTTTGTCTTTACTTTCTTAATCTCACCTGGGACCCATGCAGTTGAAACTATGATAAGGTAAGATACAGAAATCTTAA